ACTCAACTTCAAAGTCACCCTGTATATACAGGGTGTTTCAGTTTATTGTTGCATAACTTTGAGATTCGATAGAACTTTTAAAATTAATGCATAAAGTCTATATAAACATGGGTCGAAAAATGCGTGGCTTCCGAAATACAGGGTGTTTAAATTTACTTTCTAAAATAGTTTTTTTTTTTAATATTTCGAACAATATTTGATGTATAACAGTGAAAATTGGTATACAAGGGTTTTTTGGTACGACAAAATGAACCATGGGCATAGTTTTACTGTAGCCGCTAGAGGGTGCTCTCTACTGTACCTGTAGTGTATTAAAATGACCGAAAATTTTTTCTTAGTGCAATTTTTTGCTTTTTGAATAAAAAAACTGATTGTTCGAACTTGTCAATTTAATTATTTATGATAAAATAACGTTAAAAAGTCAGTATCTCGATAATTTTTAGAAGTAGGCTGTGCCTGCAAATATTTGTGAAATTGAAAGCAGAATAAGGTTAAACGTCAATTAGTTGACAGTTAGTTGTGTTGTCTGTTGAAACCGGAAACGTTTTTTTGCAATTGTGAATGCACGAAATTTAGTTTCTTTTACCTGGTTTTTTTTTGTAAGTTTTATAAAAATGCCATTTTTATTCTCCAATCAAGAGTTAGCGGATATTCATTTTGTGTATGGCTTTGTAAATGGAAACGCAGCAAAAGCAGCCAGAGAATACGCACGAAGATTTCCAAACAGACGACATCCAACTCGCTCAGTATTTGCAAGAGTGCATCGCCAAATAATTGAAAATGGTTTTGGGAATCTCCAAAGGGATCGAAACATAAATGTTAGTCAGCGCAGATTTACCCGTATGATTCTGCGTTAGTTTGATAGAGATCCGACCACAAGTGTTAGGAGAGTTTCTGGTGCCTTGGGAATTTCAGCAAGCCATGTTCACCGTGTTCTTAGAAATGACCATAGACGTCCTTACCGTTTGCAACCTGTGCAAGGACTACAGCCAGGAGACGGAGAACGAAGAATCACATTTTGTCAGTGGATTCTTGATAGAACTGATAATAATAGGGAGTTTTTAAGTAACGTTTTATGGATTTATGGTAAATTTTCATAATCAACATATTTGGTCGCATGAAAATCCGCATGCAGTTCGGGAAAGAAATTTTCAGCATGAATTTAGTGTGAACGTGTGGATTGGTATCTACCGTAATCGACTATTTGGACCCTACCTTTTGCCTGCAAGGTTAAATGCTGCGACCTTCTTGGAATTTTTAAAGGCTGAACATGCAAATATGTGGGATGATGTTATGTTAGATTTAAGAAGATTGGCCTGGTTCCAGCTTGATGGTTGTCCAGCTCATTATTCGAGAATAGTTAGAAACTCGCTGGACGAAAATTATCCAGAAAGATGGATCGGCCGTGGAGGACCACTCGCCTGGCCTCCACGATCCCCTGACCTAAATCCATTAGATTTCTTTGTGTGGGGATTTCTAAAAGAAAAAGTGTACCAGACTCCCGTAACCACAAGAGATATGCTAACAGACAGATTCAGGAATGAATGTGATGAAATAAGGCCTTATTTGAATAATGCTATACCACGTTCGATTATTCGTAGATGTGAATTGTGTATTGAACAATTGGGTTTACATTTCGAGCAACTACTTTAGATTTTGTATGTTTGTCCTAACTATCCAATAGCATTTTAGTTGTAAATAATTTATTTAATTTGTTAAAAATAATATTGGAAAATTAAACAAATTAATATTCTGTTTTTTTTTGTGTTTATTTGGAGTTAGGAATTATTGCTGTGTTTAAAAACACAATCTAAACGATCATCTTAATTACTTGTAATGCCCAAATCAAAAATGTAAAAAAAATATTATTTTCCCATAAATAATTAAAAATGCATCGAACCTTAAAAATCGAAATATCTCAAAAACGGCTAACTATAAAGAAAACACAGGAGAGCTTTTTTATGTTGAAAAGTGCGAAGAATCAGTTTTTTTATTCAAAAAGCAAAAAATTGCACTAAGAAAAATTTTTCGGTCATTTTAATACACTACAGGTACAGTAGAGAGCGCCCTCTAGCGGCTACAGTAAAACTATGCCCATGGTTCGTTTTTTCGTACCAAAAAACCCTTGTATACCAATTTTCACTGTTATACATCAAATATTGTTCGAAATATTTAAAAAAAACTATTTTAGAAAGTAAATTTAAACACCCTGTATTTCAGAAGCCACGCATTTTTCAACCCATGTTTATATAGACTTTATGCATTAATTTTAAAAGTTCTATCGAAACTTAAAGTTATGCAACAATAAACTTAAACACCCTGTATATCAAAATGTAGGAAAATAATGGGCAAAATTCGCAAAAAGGAGGAAAGTGGATTCGAGCAAGAAATAGGATAGGTAACCCGAGCGATACGTATGTCTGCTGGTTGGCTTCATCAGACTCGAAATGAATGCACATATGCAACTCCAAAAGGACATACACATTACACATGCCCACACATTCGGATACGGGTGTAACCCGAGGAAACGAAGATGGAGTGGCAAAAAATCGACACACGAAGTCCACAACAAGAGCCAACCTAAACATTGTAGCATAAAATGGCAAGAAGACCTCGAATTTTCAAGGAGACATCTAATCACAACCACGCGGCCGGTTATAGCCACTTGCTGTGGTACTTCAAGACCAAAGGTTGAAAATTCGAGGTCTTCTAGCCATTTTATACTACAATGTGTAGGTTGGCTCTTGTTGTGGACTTCGTGTGTCGATTTTTTCCCACTCCAACTTCGTTTTCTCATTTCTCTTTGTAGACCCTTTGGGATTGAAGGGTTTCCATAAACAACCAATAGTAAACCTTCCAGAACGTAAGACGGTTGATTCAGATACTACACATCATGTGTATTCAAAGCCCATAATTTCAATTACTGCCAAATCAACAATTCCCTTTTTTCACTATTCATTCTACTCTTAAACCTAATACCAGAGTACTAAAATCTTCATATCTGACGAATAGTAAAGATACCAGAACATAAAAAGGTTGGCTGAGATACTGATGCATATACAATTGTCCACATCTGGGAAGTACAAAGTCAACCTACTTGACGCGATTTCCATTAAGTGGCACCAAGAAAGCTTTGGGCCAAAAATATATAATTTCCACATTGCCCAAGTTCCTTATAATTTCGGTAAAAAACAACCTCGTACTTTAGAATAGTTGAATGATTATTTTTTCTTTCCACTGTCAAAGATTTATTCCAGTTGTAGCACACTTTTGTCGCTCTTTAGACTGAAATATTTTATATGATATCATAAGATTGCGAACATTGACCTAACAAACAAGTACTAAAATGAAAATAAAAACGTTGATTTAGGTTCAAAATATTTAAATGCAAAAATTTCATAGAGACTTGAAGCTTTCATGACCGAGAACCTCGCATACAGACCCTGATGATCTATTTTTTTATTGAAATCCTAAACATTTTGGTAGACAACAAAAATACCTGTTTACATGTTTTAAGGGATTCAAAAAGATCTTTGAAATCTTATTGGCAAATATTGATAACTTTTGTCATCGTTCAGCAATACTTTTTCAACTAAAACTTGAGTTAACAAGCAAGCTCTGAGATATTGTTTCCCAAAGTGATTACTAAATGCCAAGGATGGCATACAAGAGATCTATATGGGTAACAAAAATTAATATTCGTCAAAAACAAAAACGCCATCCATATACCATATTCTAAATCTAATGCTGTAAATAATTCGCCGAATGGTTTAGGGACACAATTTTTTAACGTGTTAAGTACCTGTGCCTGTAAAGTGCTGTGATTTGAAGTCTGAATGCTGAAGCAACTTTTATGGAGTGAATATCTTTGTTTGTGAATGTTTGTTTATCTGATTATTTACTCATTTCATTTACATATGCTTGTTTTATTTATTTATTCATTTTTCATATCTCCAAAGCTTTTCAACTTTACATTATAACGTTATTTGTTTGATATGCAGTAGAATCAATGATACTTTTTAAATTATTTTTTTTGTTATTTCTTTCTTATTGTTTATAGATACATATAGTTAGATATCAAAAGTGGTTAGATCTTTTTTTAACATAAACTTTACTGCTCTTGTCGTTGTACATTCTTTATGGTAGTAAAAAGTTAATAGCATACTCATAACATGTATAAACATACTTACTAGTTTAGTTGTAGTTAAATTATGTACTTATTTGAGGGCTGTCTTCCAGTGGTCAGGTAGAATAATTGTATTTTTCATATCGTAATTTTTTTGTCTACAAAAATCAATTAACACGGGTTTATTATTAATGTGGTTTGTACTGATGCTTTTGACGATTCCTATACACAGTTCCGTGCCAAAACAAAAATAAGGAACTTGAAATAAACAATTCTTCAAGATTTAAAGGAATCCAGTGGTCAGGTAGAATAATTGTATTTTTCATATCGTAATTTTTTTGCTACAAAAATCAATTAACACGCGTTTATTATTAATGTGGTTTGTACTTATGCTTTTGACGATTCCTATACACAGTTCCGTGTCAAAACAAAAATAAGGAATTTGAAATAAACAATTCTTCAAGACTCAAAGGAATCCAAACACTCACCCCTCTGTACATATACAACATATAGTTAGATATCAAAAGTGGTTAGATCTCTTTTTAACATAAACTTTACTGCTCTTGTCGTTGTACATTCTTTATGGTAGTAAAAAGTTAAGAGCATACTCATAACATGTATAAACATGCTTACTAGTTTAGTTGTAGTTAAATTATGTACTTATTTGAGGGCTGTCTTCCAGTGGTCAAGTACAATAATTGTATTTTTCATATCGTAATTTTTTTGTCTACAGTAATCAATCAACACGGGTTTATTATTAATGTGGTTTGTACTTATGCTTTTGACGATTCCTATACACAGTTCCGTGTCAAAACAAAAATAAGGAACTTGAAATAGACAATTCTTCAAGATTTAAAGGAATCCAAACACTCACCCCTCTGTTAGAAGCAGCCGCCGCGACGACAGCTAAGGTCGCCGCGGCGAGCAACAACAGCACCAACAGTCTCGGTGCTCCGGTGGACGTCTTCGTCGTGGGAGCGCCTGGACACGGGCGCACCAGCTGCATCATTTTCGTGTTCTGGGTGTTCTGCAGGTGGTGGGCTGTGGAGTTGCTTCGATGACAGACAGACGTTTGTGCGCTTCTGCAGCCGGAAACGGCGGGTTTATATACCTGCCCACCTGTAGCGCGATTTCGCCGATCGGAGCACCAGAAGGCAGCTCTATGGAGGAGGTGCTCCAGGTTGGAGGGAGGTGGAGTCTACAGCCTACGCATAACGTCGGTCGAATTTTGAATACGGAATTTTTGACTTGATGATGGTCGTTTGATTTTCTAAGTGGGTGGTTAGAACATTGGAATTAGGCATAAATTATCAGGGTCTATAAGCCGTTTTTTCGCACTGGAAATAACTCAAGTTTCAAGTTGACAAAATCTATGAAATTTTTACATTTTAATAATAATAACAATAATAATAATTATTCAGCATGTTTGCAATTTACACTCAAATAAACATGAGATTTCCAAAGAAAGGAATACCAGTTCCTTGTGCATGGGTCATATGATATTTATAATACATGAAATTTCTACAACTTGTATAAGCTAAAAGTAAAGCAATAATGTACATAAACGAGTACATATACAGGGTGTTTCAGTTTATTGTTGCATAACTTTGAGATTCGATAGAACTTTTAAAATTAATGCATAAAGTCTATATAAACATGGGTCGAAAAATGCGTGGCTTCCGAAATACAGGGTGTTTAAATTTACTTTCTAAAATAGTTTTTTTTAATATTTCGAACAATATTTGATGTATAACAGTGAACATTGGTATACAAGGGTTTTTTGGTGCGTCAAAACGAACCATGGACATAGTTTTACTGTAGCCGCTAGAGGGCGCTCTCTACTGTACCTGTAGTTTATTAAAATGACCGAAAATTTTTTCTTGGTGCAATTTTTTGCTTTTTGAATAAAAATACTGATTCTTCGCACTTTTCAACATAAAAAAGCTCTCTTGTGAATTTTCGTTATAGTTAGCCGTTTTTGAGATATTTCGATTTTTAAGGTTCGATGCATTTTTAATTATTTATGGGAAAATAATATTTTTTTTACATTTTCGATTTGGGCATTACAAGTAATTAAGATGATCGTTTAGATTGTGTTTTTAAACACAGCAATAATTCATAACTCCAAATAAACACAAAAAACAGAATATTAATTTGTTTAATTTTCCAATATTATTTTTAACAACTTAAATTAATTATTTACAACTAAAATGCTATTGAATAGTTAGGACAAACATACAAAATCTAAAGTAGTTGCTCGAAATGTAAACTCAATTGTTCAATACACAATTCACATCTACGAATGATCGAACGTATATATATAGCATTATTCAAATAAGGCCTTATTTCATCACATGCATTCCTGATTCTGTCTATTAGCATATCTCTTGTGGTTACGGGAGTCTGGTACACTTTTTCTTTTAGAAATCCCCACACAAAGAAATCTAATGGATTCAGGTCAGGGGCCACGACCGATCCATCTTTCTGGATAATTTTCGTCCAGCCAGTTTCTAACTATTCTCGAATAATGAGCTGGACAACCATCAAGCTGGAACCAGGCCAATCTTCTTAAATCTAACATAACATCATCCCACATATTTGCATGTTCAGGCTTTAAAAATTCCAAGAAGGCATTTAACCTTGCAGGCAAAAGGTAGGGTTCAAATAGTCGATTACGGTAGATACCAATCCACACGTTCACACTAAATGCATGCTGAAAATTTCTTTCCCGAACTGCATGCGGATTTTCATGCGACCAAATAATGTTGATTATGAAAATATTTGCAGGCACAGCCTACTTCTAAAAATTATCGAGATACTGACTTTTTAACTTTATTTTATCATAAATAATTAAAAATGCATCGAACCTTAAAAATCGAAATATCTCAAAAACGGCTAACTATAACGAAAACTCACAGGAGAGCTTTTTTATGTTGAAAAGTGCGAAGAATCAGTATTTTTATTCAAAAAGCAAAAAATTGCACTAAGAAAAAATTTTCGGTCATTTTAATACACTACAGGTACAGTAGAGAGCGCCCTCTAGCGGCTACAGTAAAACTAAACTCATGGTTCGTTTTGTCGTACCAAAAAACTCTTGTATACCAATTTTCACTGTTATACATCAAATATTGTTCGAAATATTTAAAAAAAACTATTTTAGAAAGTAAATTTAAGCATCCTGTATTTCGGAAGCCACGCATTTTTCGACCCATGTTTATATAGACTTTATGCATTAATTTTAAAAGTTCTATCGAATCTTAAAGTTATGAAACAATAAACTGAAACACCCTATACATTCAATAAATATAATAAATGTTCGGAAAATATATGAATTTTAAACGTTCATCAACATTTCTCTGATTTTTTCAGTGCTTGGTTGTTCTTTGAAAGCTCAAAGTTTATATTTTTGACATTTTGGTCCAAAATTCACCCATTTTTGAATATTGATCTCAGTACTTTTTATATTAACACAGGGCCAGATCTATAGAGTGTCCGAAAATTGACCCATAACCTTGCAACTGAAAATTGATTATCATGAACAACTGTTTAGCAAAACTTTGCTTAGTGAAGCTTAGTTAAATTAATTTTTACTGAAATGTTGCATTAGAATAATTCTCATGTGGTTATCGCTATAATATAAGAATAAAATAATATTGGTTTCTACGAAGCAATCAATTGTGAATATTTTTAAACAAACCCGGCTGAAAAATTGATATCTGTACAAATGACAACATAACTAGAAGAGTGTCAATTTTTCCTGAATAAAATTAATTGCTGCATATCTCGGTAACGATGACTTTTGACTAGGCAAAATTTTGCCAAACAGTAGGTCGTGATGTGACTTATCTCCAGCTGCAGAAATATTTTTCAATTTCCGAACACCCTGTATAATAAAACGCTCTTAGACACAAAAGATATAAGTATACCTAAAAGTAAAAGCGCTGCTCCACATCGCTCACATTAAATATAAGATAGCGTCAAGTAGGTTGACTATGACGTTCGTCACAAGTCTGAGCTAGCTCCAAACATGTATTAAAAACAAATTAAAACGATCAAGTCAGCCAGATAGGTCCACGCAATTAGCTCATACTCCATAACTTCCGTCCATTTAATAACGCCAACGTTTGATAAACTAAATCATAAAATGTTGACTGGTATTTTACACTATATAGGGCTTTTAGAGTCTGCTGTCACGCTTATGTGCCACTATTTTATTAACAGAACACAATACGTAGAAACAGATCAAGGGGTATACCACAAGGCTCCATTTTATGTATTTATACCTCCAACCTCTCTCAATGTCTCCCAAATTTGTCTGGTACATTTGTATGTTGTCGATATTCAGCTTTATTTTTCTTTCAATCCTAACGGAAAACGTGATGGCTCTGCCATTATTAATTGAGATATTGAAAGATTACTTGTGTTTTCGGAAAATCATGGTCTACGTGTTAATGCTAGCAAATCACATGTTATGTTATTTGGCAGATTGAAAGACAATATTTAGTCCACTTTTTATGTCAAAATAAGGAGTGAGTCTATACCTTGTTCAGCTAGTGTGAGAAATTTAGGATTTGACTCAAATCTAAGAATCAAGCCTCATATTGATAAATGTATCCAGAAAGCTTATGCTTCTCTGAAAGTTCTATATGCTCATAGGTATGTCCTCGCTGTTCAACTTTAAATAATGCTTCGTGAAACACTAGTACTCAATTTTTGTAATAGCTTATATGAGTTTAGTTTAGACAAGATTGACATTGACAGGGTTGAGCGTGTACAGAAGTTCTGCCTAAGATTCATTTACGGTCTACGCAAGTTTCAAAGAATTTATCATAAGTTGCTTGATGCAAACTGATTGAATATGTGATGTCGACGTAAGTTGCTTGTAATGTAATCTAATATTTTTCACAAATTTTTGTTTTTCAAGCAACCACCGTATTTATTCAATTGGATAAATTTTCCCAGTGATGTTTATAACTCAAATTTGCGGATTCCGGGCTACATATCACCTCCTCCTCATCAAACCTCTTATTTTTGTAAATCTTTCTTATACAACATTTATCTGCTTTTTAATCAAATTAATGATGAAAATTCTGCATCCAAACCATCAGTTTAAAATCAAATATAACAAATGTATTTTTGCGTACTAATGTAAATGAGGCACAAGCCATCAAACTGATGAAAGTTTTGTTTATACTATCACTCACATTTTTTTTCGAGGTTCCTAAGGTAGATTTTTTATAAATGTGTAAAATAGCTCCAGGCTGAACTTAGATCATTTATAAATGCTGTCAGCCCTTTTTGTAACATATTTCACCTATGTATTTTGCTGCAATGTATACTTTATCTGAAGTCACTTGAAACACTGTGAAATACCGGGTGCGTTTTATAAATCTATATTTAACACGCTCTGTTGCTGCAAAAATCGCCAAATTTCGCAGCAAATATCCCCCGTATAAGATCAAAGGCAGTTTCATCGGTTCACGTGGAGTAAAGCACGCCTATGCGTGGACATAGCCAATGAGAAAGCGTGTATTTCAGAGCTCCGAACAAGTGCAGGTGGCTACTGAAAATTGAAACAGTTTAGCCAGCGCCGTGTAGCGGTGAATAAACGTGTTTTCTTTAGTCTGTCCGTGTTTTTTCATAGATTTTATTAGTTTGTGTGTTTTTGACTTTCAAATACTCAGTTTACTTGTTGATTTAATTGTTGTGTTGATTGTTCTTGTGTGTCCTAAATATTGCTCTTTGGAGACCTTGGGAAAATGCTCCAAGCCACGAGGAGATGGTTGATGAACCTGTGCAGGCAGAATTCTTTCATAAAGATTTAGAGGAACAGACCCAAAGAGTAATCCTAAATATGTATGATTGTCTGAAAAACGAAAATTCAGATTCCTCGCAAAATCAAATTTTAAACAGAATTTGTATCCTGACAAAAATCAGTCGGTCTACCATTTATCGGGTTATAAAAAGGGGAGATGTAGTCAACCATTCCTTCCACAGAAAGCGCATAGG